GTTATTCAATCTGTTGTGTCCATGGAAAGGAAAATAAATTGTCTCGGTGGAGCGGAAACCAAAAAACTAAATGGTGAAGACTCTCTCATGGAATCGAAGTCTCTATCCGCCTGATGGAAAGTAAAGATGAAGTCGACGATGGAGCATGCACACCACTAAATAATTCACTCACGCCTTGAAAAAACCCAAGTTACAGCGTTTAAGCTCATGCAGACATATGCAGGCAAGGAATTCCAGTTCATAGCCATTTGCCATATAAATTTGGAAGCGTAACGCTTCTAACCTCGGCCTACGTCTAGCCCCCTAATGATGGAAAGAGAGTGTGCGCAGTAACTTTGTATTTTAGTTCCACCTTCACCATTCCTTCTTAGCCGCTCACGCGATACATGAAGCCGTAGACGCATACCACACCTAGAGGTGCCGGTGATGATTTTATACCGATTTATCCGGATATCGAAGTTATAACAGGCAAAAGAACTAATATTAATTGCTATTTCGGTAACTACTCTAGCAAACCATAAAGTTTTTAATGCCTGGGTCTGTCATTTAAAAAAATAAACAACTTCAAAAATACGTCATGACAATCGTGTGTGTTATTGTTTGGGCTGGTGATTTCGGTGTTTATTTATTGAAAACGTACCGTAAGTAGCGTTTTTTAAGTTTACCCTGAACATAAATGTTTATAAACTATACTTTAAGGAGTAATTTCATGGTAAACGTTAGAACCACTCAAACGGAATATTATCAAATTTATCCAAGTACACCAAAAATTTCATTAGTGCTTTTTAAGTGGAGGATTTGCGGTGTATTACTGCATTTTATTTGAGATGTTTTTGTTGGTAGTACGGAGGGTATTTATTTAGCAATGCAGAATAATAATTTTTATTTATAAAAACTTGTATTTAAACTGAATGCTTTTCTAATTGACGAAACCAAATAGCCGCCATTTTGCGGTAGGAGGAGCGCATTGCGTGAGCGGATAAGAATGGATTACAATGCGGGCACCTGTGTTTTGCGAAGTCTACAAATTAAGAGCTAGTCAAACACGTAACATCGTTGACCACTACGTAGCTTAACATAAGGTGAGTTTGTGGCCAAGTTTAACAAGGCCCAGGTCCTTGCAACAGAAGTTGGTTTTCTACTCAGGGTACAGCAAGACATATTAAAATTTAAAAAAAACAAATCCTAATTTCATAATGGAAGATCCAGTATTACCTCTGATTCTAGTGAACTTCTATTCAGTTTAACTTGTCGCGTAATAACATATCTATTTCACCGCCTGTACACTTTAGTAGGGTTATGTGTTTGTTTTAAAAATTTAACTGCCATTTTTATATTTAAATATACCTGCATTTAGTGTCCACGTTACATATATCTATTACCACCAACTCGTACTATGTGTGACGGAAGATGGTACTACGTTAACCACATTTAAAAATCTTTAAACTAACTATCAGTTACAACGATTATTAGTAACGATAAATAAATAGGCACTAGCGAAATCACTCATATCATTGTAAGTTAGTAACTCTGTACTAAATGTGCTAACCAAAGGGTTCCGCTTTCTTTTTTTGTCCATGAAACTGTCATTTGTTGTCACATGAGAAGCATTTTTACATTGTCTCGATAATTGATATTGACATAATGTTGAGAAACTATTTTTCTGTTATTGTACAATCAACAGAATATCACACTATACACCTTTGGTTCGAATATCGTCTCCAGAGCAACGGAACAAGATCGGTCCATGTTTCGCTTGATATGCTTGTAACGGTGTGACCTTCTTATACCATCATCCCACCTTTTTATATCGCCTCTCTCCATTCGTATCGTATCGTTTTTTCTTCTTCTACTCATATTTAAATTTAAAATTGTTCCATTTTACCTCGCATTCTGATTTTGTTTCTTTCCATCGACACTCCCAGCTCGACCGCCACAACAGTCGGAGCTATTCCAAATTCCATTTACTAAAATCTTATTTTTGATTCTTTACCAAGTTATAATACAAAACACAAAATACAACAGTCGGAGCAAAAGATTGATAAAAATTTTGCTGCAATAGTTTGTAACCCGGTGTAATGGTGCCGCCATTGAAACCCTGGCTATTACACGAATATAAAGATTTGTACAGAGGCTTCCTGAGTTTTTCACTGGCGCCCCAACAAATTTTAGAAGAAACCATGAAGAACACCAATAAATGAAGAACAAGACAGTGAATTTTTCTTTAATAACAGTGAAATATTGTGAAAAGTGACGTTACATAATTCATTATACACTGCAGATCACCTACACACCCCATATTTCAGACAAGAGACGACTGCCGTTACATTCAGCTGGTTACAAATGTAACTGAACCCAGAGTTGGTGTACCGATAGCACTACAAGCACCCCCACATGCTGTCGTCTTTAAAAACACAACGGCTTCTAGTGGTGGTACTTCATTTTCTATTCTATATTTGGGCACTAGGTAATCACCACATTTATCGAAATGAAATTGGTTTGACCCGATCACGTATCACTACACTAGTCACATGAAGCCGTTCTGTCATCTAAGCTGCCAATTGACTATGCCGCCGTTTGGTTTTCGAGGACGCCATTCGGCAGGGGTATCAAAGAATACTGATCGATATTGTTTGGATATCTGTAATAGGAAGTGGAGCCATTCGATATCTTTATTTTTTGATGTAATCGTGCACCTGGTGGTAAGCGACGCGCCTGTTCATGGCAGTTACGGTGTAACATGGAGATTTAAATCTGAGGGGCGCTGCCACAGCGTCTCTGCTGCTGTGGCATGCTGAGACGCTCATCCTCCGCTAGCTAGCTCTGGACAAAGAAATATTTAGAAAACTGACAGCTGACCTTCTAATGGCGAGGTACTTGTAGAAGAAGAAAGCCTTATATGATTGGTTTAATGTAATTTCGCTTCGGTTTGTGCGGTAACTCCCTAAAGAAGAGTCTCCCAGGTTGCTTGGTAAGCCCGGTAGTTTGTTGGTCAATCAAATCACACGGTAGATCCTAACATTTTTGGTATCTTCCTGTCCTTATCCCACGCTAGACGGGGTCGGCACAACATATATTTTTCTTCCACTCTCCCTTATGAACTGTCTCCCTTATTTTTATGTCCACCTTATTCATTTGTTATCTTTCACACAACCCATCCATCTTTTCCTCGGCCTGCCCCTGTATATCCCTCACATTTATACATAACACTCTTCTCGTTACATGACATTCGTTCCTGCACGTGACGACATGTTCTATGTCCATAACTTCTCATCTTTTTGCCGTTTTTAGAGGTGGAATATTTTCTTCAAATTTAAATGAAAAAATTCATACTAAATTTATAATAAAATTTTAAATAATATTACGGTGGCCAAGTCAAAGTCAAAGATTATTTATTCCATGGGTAAAATAAATGTACACTTGAAAGCGTCACATTTAAGCTACTGCTTGTTCACTACGCTGACCTCCCTAAGAAGAACGAGCAAGAAACTCTAGGGATTGCTCTTTTCAAATAAACTTAAATGCTATGGAATACACTTTGAATCAAATTTGTGTGGATTCTGGAGCCATGTCGTCTTTCCATACATCTTTATCTAACACGTAGTCTTCAATTTTGTAATATGATTTTTCGATCAAAATATTTTTAATGTAGTTTTTAAACTTAGGAAATGATAAACTTAATATATGCTCCGGAATCTTACTATTGTAAAAACGTATACAGTTCCCCATAAAAGAGTTGTTTACCTTTGTTAAACGAAATAGTGGTACCATGAGTTTGGACTTAGCTCTAAGGTTAATATTATGGATATCTTCTTTCTTATTGAAATTATGTATATTTTTACGGGCATATGAAATATTTCAGTAAATGTACTGTGATGCCACAGTCATGATACCAGTCTCCTTAAACTTTTCTCTGAGAAGTTCGATTCCCGCGTGTTGCTAGAAATTTTCGAAAATCTGTGAATGCAGTTTTATTTCTTTCAAAAAATAAAGGAAAGTTTCCTTTAAGCAAAAATTTCTATCTCTAGTATTTAGAGTACTTTCCCTCCAGGTGACATTACAAATTTCCACCCTGTATAATATTATTGTATACAATAAAGTATTAGGGGTTAAAGTATGAAATTGCCGTTTTATTGCAATAGGTTCTTTGA